AATTTGGTTTGTGGAATTCATTTGGGTGGGTGAGTAAATAATAGTCTTTCTGTGAAATTGAAATGAAGTAATAATGAAGAGTTGTATCATTTAAATTGAAATTAACAAGAAGTTCATTTGGTTCCAAAGGGACCAAAATATCAAGAAAATAAACTGCAACGAAGTTGTGATTCATTTCAACCATCCCCTTCTAAAGAAATGAAGAGCCAAGCCCAGATGATTTTCATTTGGTTCCTTTACTTAACTGCCACCCTTTTCATTCCAGGTTGGTTTTCCAGCTCATAGAATTGTGTTCCCAAGCCCAGATGATTCATCAGTAGCCAAGTGAAAGTCAGAAGTTCTCCACCCCTACTTGGTTGCTGAGCATGCACAATTGGTCTACATTTAATGGAAGCGTAGGACAATAATTCCACCCACACTCGGCTCATTAGCTCCCATTGGTCTGCCTCGACCTTTTCAAGCTGTTTTACTAGGAAACATGCATCGAACAACACAGATTTGCTTTTACCCTTCACAGCGGCTGATCTGAATTTGGCTTCCACAGCATTAATCTTTTCACAAGCTTCCCGATGATCAGTTCTTGAGTGCTTGAAAAAGAACCTCTTGGCCTCTGCACGTGTGTCCTGGAAGACTATATGCCAATTCCCCAAAAATGGGGCCATCATATTATGCTGCATCACCAGAAGATAAAACATATAATCTGAAAGTAGTTTGCAAATTTTTCTTCTTTCGTTATCAGCGTCTTGCTCCGTTTTCGCAAAGTAGAGTTCTGTTGCTATGTGCCACAGAAGAACACTTTCTGCATATTGATATTCCCCTACACTCCATTTGAGTTTCAGATAGTTTGAAGTCTGCAGGAGAGCCCAGTCACCTCTTTGTGAAGATGCCTCCATGGCAGCTCTTCTGTTGTTTGCTTCCAAAGATTTTATCCTCAGCTGCTCGAACAAAAATTCCTTGACATCTTCAGTGACTGCCTCTGAGGTTGAAAAAAAGCAGACTTTTATTTTATCTAGAATTCCTCTAACGCCCACATAACCAGCAAAAGTGTACACCCATTCTGGAGGCTCATCCAGGCAATTGCTTATCATATTATACTTGGACACCAATCCAGACCACCTTCCTCTTTTCAGTTTCAATATCAATGCACCAATATATGTTCTGCTCCAGATGTTGTTGAAGGCAATGACTGTCCAGTATGAACAAATGAGCTTCAACACAGACAGGGTGTCCAGGATTATGGCCCCAATAAGCAAAGCATAGGTAAGAGCAATGTCAAACTTATCAAACTTATGTTTTCCAACTAAAGCAAATAACATCAAGGCACCAATGGTTGAACAGAAGGTAATTAAGCGGAGAATGTACCCAACTTTGTGACGAGCCACAACCACCTTGGTATGGAGAACCTCATACATGAAGCTGAGCTCATACTCTATCAATTGAAAAGCACTAACAGGGGTTCTTTTGAGAAAAAAATCTCGGCTGCGTTCTCGAACTTTGGAGCTCAGAAGGAA